ATTTAGGTGTATGTAAAAATTTTATTTAACAAAAAAACAAAAAAAAATTTTTTTTTTGTGTTTTCTAGAAAGATGATATAGGTAAAATATTATATACTCGTGTATGTGATTTAATAAGATTAGAAGAAAAAGATTATTTTGGTTTAACATTTATTGATAATGAAAATAATAGAGTAAGTATAAATTTAAATAAAAATCTAATGTAATATGAGGAAAATGTTTTTAGTGTTGGCTTGATAATGATAAACGTGTACGAAGTCAATTGAAAGGTAAAATTCAATGAAGAAAGAAAAAGATGACTTCATATGATTATTTTAGGTGTTGATTCAATCTTTTATTTTCAAGTTAAATTTTATCCACCAGAACCAGCTTTACTTCAAGAAGATATTACAAGGTTTGTTTTTATTTTTCGATAAAAAAAAATTTTAGAATAATTCCAAAGATTCAAATGTCTACCTTTGATTTTATTTGTTATATTGAAAATAATGATACATCAGAAAGAAAAGTATTAACCTATTCGACATGGAATCATATTTGGAACTAATCTGTCGATCCGAACTTCGAATTATGCTTACGAGAAGTTAGCCAAATAGTATTCATTTATGAATTGGGATATCTTTTAGCTATATTAAATAATTATTGAAATTGACACATTGTTTGTCTTCATAGAACTGATTGCTTAATTGTTATATTTTTCAATTTTTGCTTAGATAATGGTCTTTATTAATTAGACTATAAGATTTATTAGTGGTAGGTGACACTAGCTTTTCATTTTGTCTGCTAAAATATGGAACCTAACACGTGTTCTTTGACTGCATTACACTAATACAATATTTGTAATATGAAAAAATCTCTAGCAGACTACAATTGTTTCCAAAGAAGCAATCTATCTTATTTCGAACACAAAGCTTTTTATTTGCACTCTAATTCTTTGTTTGCCTTGTTGCTTTTCATTTTCTTCTTCTGCTTTTCTTAATCGAACTTTATTATTCTGACAAATACACCTGAATGTTCAGCTCATTTGCTGTGTTTTATGCTTTTCATTATCTGTAGAACTCGTTGCACTGATCATTTTGGCAAAAAAAAAGAAATATTCAAATATCATCCGATAGAGGACCTTGAGTAAATAAAAATCCTAAAGGAATTGCGACCGATGGCTTTTTCTTCAAAAGTTACGACTACTTTCCTGATTTTCCATATATACTCTGAAAGTTTCATAATTCTATCGTCTTCTTTTCCCGAGCTACAGGACATTTCTATAACTCGGGAAAAGAGAGTAATAGAATTGTGAAGCTCCTTAAGACTACCATCAAACAAATTTTGATTCTCTGACGAGGGAACCTTCCGAGGTGCTAAAAAGCTTTTGAGCCCAAATTTTGTCCATAAGTAGGGGATATATAGACTAGAAAAAGCCTAAGATAGTATCGGCTCAAGTTGCAATTTGGCTGAGATATCAGCTTTTTACTAGAATTTTCCTATAGGACCCCATTTTCCC